TTTTTAAAAAGCACGTTTTTGTAGTGGAGAATAATAATTAAAAAACAAAAATTTGAAAAACGTGGGGCGCATGAAATACATAACAGTAATGTTATATTAGTGTGTGTATGTGTGCTCATGAGAATATGTGTATGTATATCTATAATTGTATCTGAATGTGGAATATGTTTGTGTATATGCATGTGTATGAGGATGTATATGTGGCTGTGCATACGTATGAGTCAGGGGTGATTGTGAGCCCAAGTCAAAATTCCGGAAAATTTCCCGAGTTAAAAAAAAAAGTTTAAATTAAAAAAAAATTAAGCAAGATTTTTTTTCTTCCTTTTTCTCAATATTTCTTAGTTTACATAAAATATATTTAAAATTTTACACATAGCTATACTATTTACACATACCTATGATAACCTGGAGAAGAAATTAAAATTTACAAATATGTCTTTCTTTCTTCAGTTTATGGTTATATTAACTATTTACTGATAAAAATTGAATATTAATNATATTACTTTTTTTTTTGTACTCTCTTCCAAAATCTCAATTTTTTCACTCACTGTACACAAAACTTTTCAACTGACATGTGATACTAATTTGAAATAATCGAATCGACAACAAAAGACAATCGCAAAAATATTAATTTTTCTTTAATTTTAATTTACTTTGTATGTCTCCTTTCTCTTCATTTTCATGCATTGTCATCCAATTCTGAACTATGGGCCAAATATGAAGCTTGTAGCTAGTCGGGAAGTTAGTTTAAAATCGATTACAAAATTCCACCCGAACAGACATACACGAATGCAAGTTGATATAAACGTGGTAATATATATTATATTATTATACAACCTTAACAATGCTATATGCAGTCCCAAAATGCAAAGGGAATTACAAAAATCGGCCTTAAGTCTCAGGTTTTAAGTTTCCCAAAAGTGAAGAAATGAAACGAAAATGGATAATTCCATTAAAGGAGACAGTTATCAAATAACTGTTAATACTCGAGTGAGTTATTTATCTTTTATATTTTTAAATTGTTTTTTGCAAGCTTTATAATAAGCTTTTTAATTATATAATGAAAGAAGTTGCATTTAAGATTTAAAATATTTTCTGTTTCGTTTATTGTAAGCGAATACTATGAATATAAAACTAGCAAAGCATTCGTAAACTTCATTTTTCCTGTTTAAATATATACATGAACAAATATCAGATGTCATTAAAGAGTTGAGATTTTTATTATTTTAAAAAACTAGTAAAAAAAAAGCAGTTTAGTTGCATTTCTGAAAGAAATAAAAATTAATAACTGCTGTTTGGCACTTGAAGCTTATTTATTCTTAATGATAGCTTACTTTTATATGAGTGAAATTTCATAAATATTTATACTCGAAAACAAAAAAAAACTCAGATGCAATAAACGATATCAATAAAAAAAGGAATTTAATTCGTTGTTAGCCATTTTAATTTTTGTACGTTATAATTTTAGATGAATGTCAATGAAACTGCTGTTTATGCTTTGAATGGTATTAATCTTTCTAACACAGATAAATTGTTTTTGCGTATCTAATGATGATATCTTAAATAATTTTTTACTACTTTATAATTATTTATTAGATTTTGTAATTGAATTTTAATGCGTCACATTAACCAAAGATTGTCAAAAGTGTTGAAATATACATATATAGATAGATAATTTTTGATTTCTACTGTTAATTAGAAAATATTAAAGAGAAAACTTTTTAATTAATATTCAATATAGTTCGTTGATATTAATGAATCTTCTCGATTTATTGCTATTTTTCCATAAATTTATTCAATTAATATTTCCTCTTTTTGTACAAATTTAGTAACAAAAAAAAATTGATATGTTATTTTCGAAGTGACCTATCATAATTTATACTAAAAATGAAACACTTAAACAAAAAAAATTAAATTTAAATTTCTGCAATCTTAATGATAAAAAATTTTTGAGTTTGTATCCAGATTAAATTAGCTATTCTCATTTTTATGTTTATCTTAAAGTCTGGAAGGATTTATGAAAACAAGCTTTAAAACAATAGTTTATACATATGTATACATTATTCATTGAAATGTATCCTACAAAAATATATCAATAACTGAGTTGTATCTTATTGAGTAAAAGGAAAAACGATTTTATTAAATGCTATTAAATTTTTTCTATCTTAAAAATTTTCTTTTTAATTACAATTTAATAATAACTTGTAGACTATTTCAAATGCAGTTCAGAAAATTTACTCAATATTTTTTTCTCTATTACCGTGAATATTTTTTTTTTTAATTATTGAACAATTTCTGCTCAGAATATTATACTAATAATTTTCTATAGGAATCTATTTTGTGATATCTTTTTAAACAAATTTTATGATTGTCATCAATAAATTTATATGTTAGAAAAAATTCATATTTGAAAATACTTCACTTTTTTATAATAGTCAACAAAAATAAAAAAATTTTTTATTTATTTTTGAAAATAATAAATACTATTTTAAAGTTTTATAATCTTAAGGTTCGAAATACTTTTCTAAATAATTTATTTATTATTACTTTATAATTACTATTACTTAAATACTTAGCTAAATTATTTTGTTATATTTTTATACTATATGCGTGGTTAATTTGTAAATAAATACAGTGTTTATGTTTATAATACATTTCCACTTGGAATTTAAATGCATATCATATGATTCTGAAAGAATTTTTTAGGACCCATTTTAAAATAGCAGTTTTATAAATGTGCCAATAAAATTATAATTTCTTTATTTGCCTCTTTCCTGCCACGATATAAGATATTTTTATTTGTCATGTATTCGTTTCTGTACTAAAATGTATCATTTCTTATTTTCAAATGTACGATTAAATCCAATACTTGATTACACATTAGAAAATACACTAAAATGGGGTTCATTCTTTTGACATTAAAAATAGTTATTATGAATCACGATTTAAAATTAAAAGAAAAAAATTTCTTATTAAATTATTTTCTATTATGAAATAGTACACATATTGCTTCATGAAAAACATCAAACAGTCCTTCATGTTCATTTTATCGAGTTATAACGTGATTAATAATATTGATTTATTCAAATAAAAAGCTAAAAATTCACCACTTAAAAATACTTAATTGCTATTAAATAAGCTGAGGCAAAAATATTTTACTTCGCTTAAAATTGAAACTATTTTTTTTAGAGTTTTCTCAATACAAATCTGAATATCGTGTTCGCTACCACTTACGAGGATGACTCATGGCGGTTATACCATAAGACACTTATTTCTACAATATTGGTGAAGTTATATAATTACCAAATATATCAATAAAATACCTTATACCTATATTAATATATTTAGTACCTATTTCAAAACCCTTCTATATTTGAGTTCAGTGTGAAACATATTTATCAGTGGAAACACACTAAAGCCTAAATTTTAAAAACAAATAAAATTCTTATAAGATCTTGATAAGTACTTTAGATTGTGACTATTTTTCTACATGACAGTCATTGTACTGTTTAAAATATCCATAAGTAGTTGTGGAAAAAGTCTTTACTTCTCAATATTAATACACAATTTTTTACTAGTGATAAAAATACTTTCTGAAATTGCAGAAAATCCAGAGAATATTTATTAAAACTGCACCAATAGCCAAAATACTAGCAGTACATATTGCCAAAATTAATAAAGAGTCATCGTACAGAGATTTTTTATGGTTCCTTAAACAAATAGATACCTATTCTTTAACTTTGCTTTTCAGCACAAAGTTATCTACTTATTTCAATTAATACATATTACAAACATTTTCATTGGCGGCAATAATAGTAGTGATTTTTTACGGTCCCTCTAAACTAAACAAATAAGTACTCAAACTCCAACAATTTTGCTTTTTAGTGCATAGTTTATTTCTTTTATTTCAATATCCACCCATTACCTAAATTAATTTAGCATCATTATCGTTAATAATAGCATGGCGATTATTTACGCTTCTCTTAAAAGAATTAGTACAATTCTTCTATTAATTATGCTTTTCAATACATAACGAACGTCTTCTATTTTTTTCCCCATTTCAATTACCTTCCATTTTAAATTATTTAATTTCATAAAACATAAATGCAGGATTACTACTATGGTGATGTAGTTCATGCATGCTGCCAAGTTTATGTTGTTCATTGAATTCATCTAACTTAGGGAACAAAAAAAGAATTAAATGAAGTAAAAGTAAATTTCTTTTAGTTTATGAGTTGAAAGTGCTTCCAATGAATAATTCAATGATTTTTACATTTAGTTTGGTATATTGTTTCCACTATAGCATTGCTTAAGCATTTTTTAAGTGGCTAACGTTAGTTAAAAAGAAAAGTGATTATTAATTAATCATATACTAGAGTTCAAAGCAACAAATATGTTTTTTTTTAGTGATGCACAATTAAAATTAGTAAAATATACTTGATCCAAAAAGAAGAAGGCAAGAATTGTGAATAATAGAATTGTGAATATGTGTTAAATTATTATTTATTTTCAATGCATTAAATTATTATTACTTTAATTGAGAAGTTAATCATTTTTACTGTTTAAGATAATTTAAGTAATTCAAACTTTTGAATGCTTCAAAATTTTGTGACAAATGACATACCAAAAAAAAAAAAAAAAAANAAAAAAAAAAAAAAAAAAAAAAAAAAAAAAAAAAAAAAAAAAAAAAAAAAAAAAGGGAAAGAACATCGCTCATAATATTAGAATAAAAAAATTATTACATATTCAATTTAAAAAATGTGCATTATTTTTTCTGAAAAGTTTTTTTCTCTTTGGAAGTTGACGCTTCTGATACTTTAAATTAGTAACATGTGTATTTGTTATTATAAAAAGTATCTTGCAGAAAGGTATTAGTACTAGAGACGTTTGTCGTAGAAAGCCCGCAAAAATCTGCCACAGGGATTATAATTATGAATTTTGTCAAGTTATCGAGTGCCATTTTGTAGAATAGAAAATAACAAAAGAAAAAATTCAACAAGTTCTTCTCGTCAATTTTAATGGCAATACAAATCTAAATACTTAAGATCCAGCATAGGCCTTTTATTTATTTATTTTTTACATGGAATATAAGTTGAATGAACAACAGCCACAAAGGGGAGAAAAGTTCATTATAATACAGAGAGCAACACATATATACAGAGGCAAATGAGTGTGCATAAGAACTACTCATCAACATTTGTGCTGCATAATAAGTCAAAAGCTGCACTAATAAAAGATGCTTTAAAATGATACTGATGAAATCATTCTGAACAGGGTAGTATTTAATTTAAATAAAAATTTTAATACACAGAATATTCTAAAATATTTTCTTTCAATCACGTATATAAATATTGCTTATGTTTTCGTCAGCATTAGTATCAAAACTTCAAATACAGCATGTTTAACTTTTAATCAAGACTGCAAACTTTTATTCAGGAATGCCAACTCATAACAATGCTTTTCATTATAGTCGATAAATCAGAATATAAACCAGCAGCAATAATTTTGTAACAAATGCCACACAAACTACTAACAAGATGTCAATATATAGCAGTTTATATGCAATAAGTGCACATTATTAAGAGAAGCCAACTGGTAGAAACGCTTTTGTATCAGTACACAAACTATTATCACATATGTGAACACGTAGTATTGCTTTTCTAAGTTTCAGAGATATTTTTCTGAAATACTAAAGATAGTTTTCAACAAAATCTTCCAATCTATTTAAAAATAAAAATTACATGACCATGAAGAAAATAAGGCAATCGAACTGTTCCATAGTTCAAAAAAAGCTTACTGTAATTCCTGTAATCGTTGCTTAAAATTCGTTGAAATAGTGAAAAATCTGTAGAAGTTGGCATAGTAAATTAGAAAGTTACCAAAAGCAGAGATATTATCTATTAATAAATGCACTTCTAAGTACAAATTTTCATTACTCTGTGAAATAAGTTATTGAATTGAGGAGCAAAATAAAAGTATTTAAATATCTTTTTCACAGATAATAGTTGAGAACAATATTTAAAGAGAAAAATCAAACATACCATTCAACTTTCATACAGAAAAAAAAAAATTTAGAAATTTGCTTTTGTTAATGACTTAAGTACAAAAGAAATACATAATGGTGAATAGTTGTACCAATATGGGTTAAATGTACACAGCAAAATATGACTTTCACTCCACATTCAGCAAAGTTATACACATTTTTATTTCATAAAGAAAGCACTTTTATGCGACATCAAGATTTTTTACAGCCATTAGAAACAAGGTTAAATATTACAATTAGCACAAGATATATTTACATCTTATATTTTCACTCAGCCAAATAGTATCCTATATTTAATAATTAACAAACTCAAAAACACTTTTACAGTTTTAATAGTGGAATTTGAAAGCAATTTTCATTTGTGAGCATTATTTAAGCTTCTAGCGTAGTGCAAGTTGCTGTGGTACACCGTTAACAGTTCTTGATTTCAAAACACCATCTTCATGAACAGTAACTGTTTCTACTCCATTGACCAAAACTCTGTTAAAAATGGTAAATCAAATAATTATATGGAAAAATTAAAATAATAAATAGAGCTGAATATTTCTAAAAATTAGAAGAAGAAAAATCTCGATAAAAAATTCAGAGTTAGAAAGTTACAAGCAACAAACTACAATTTGTTTTTGATAGCAAAAAAAAGGTGCATAAAAGGAACTTTTTAAATTTCTTTAGATAAGAAAAGTAAAATTTTTTAAAAACTGAAAATGCTATGTTTCTAAAAAAGGCTAGAATAACATTCTTCATGATTAGTAGACAAATTTGATTTAAAATAAAAAACTTAGACAAAAAAAGTATTTTAAATTTTTAAAATTATCTTTAAAAGCTTAAAATTTTATATAGACAACTTGGATAAAAAACTTATTCATTATTATTCTGTTAAATCTATCCCCCCCCCCGAAAAAAAAACACATTAATCCTGATTATTACATTTCATTCATTTTAAAATTTTAATTTAAAATTTTTAAGCTAACTAATCAGCAAAAACATCTTATTCAATATTATTCTGCTTATCTATCCACAGATATACATTTATTAAAAAAGATATAATTTAAACAAAATTTGCAAACCTACAAAATAAATCAATTTAATATACAATCTTTCACAGCATTCTAAGTATACAGATGGGATTTTATGTCATAAAAGTAAATCTGAGGTATAATGAAAAAAAAAAACTACAACTTATAAATCAGTAATGAATCCAATGATATGGTTGTTTTGATTCATTAACGTGATTTAACCACATAGAAAGCGATGAGGTTCATTTTTTGTTTAGAAAATGAAACCATGTGACCAGTCGATGATTCAAGGGGGCTTTCGCCTTATTATTAAAAGGTTAAAAAAAATTTGATGCACGAATTTAATAGAAAAATATCTTGGTTTATTGTGCTGCATTTGGTAATAAAGGAAAATTTGCTTAAGGTGGACCTTAAACATTACGTTAGTAATTTTATCAACTTTTGAAATTACAGTTGTTATATTTATTTTGTAAATGGAATTTTAGCACTTGTTTCTTCCCCCAAATTAATTACTCTTATTCCATTTCATACTTTCATGTTCAAATTCTCATGATGGAACATATGGTGACAATATATGACAAACATATGGTGACAATATGTTTGTCTTAGTAGACAAAGATAGTGACACAGATTTTCGAGAGTTGCTCTTTGTTGTCAACTCGATTGACCCTACCAATTTAATTTATGGACAGAATTTAATTTTACTTTACCTTTTTTAGATGTTTTTCTAACTAAATTCTCTGAAAATTTTTCCACTTCTCTTTATTATAAACATTTTGCCTTCTGTTTGTTCCTTCATGTTAACTCTAATCACCTTATTTGTCAGAAAATTTCCGCATTTCATACTTTTGTTATCTGCTCCCTTAAGCTCTGACTCTTTTTCTTAAACCTCTGAACTTAACTTCCTTTGATCGCTTGCTGATAATTGTAGATTTAACCTTTCTACAGTTGATTCAGCTCTTGCTTAACTTACTAGATCTATACACCTTTCTTACTCTAATCTTAACAGAGAACTTGTTGATTTACCCTTATTTTTCCCCCATTTGTAACAAAATTGCTAATATCCTTTTTCGGTTTGGTTTTAATAATATCATTTTTAGGCCTGTTAACAAAATCAAATTAAGTCTTTTAAAGATCATATTAGTTTTGATCATAGCTGGGGCATTTACCACATTCCTTGTAAGTGCAGCCTTGGCTACATCGAACTAACTAGATGAGCTTCGAATTTAGACTTAAGGAACATAATAGATGTTTCTGGTATCAAGAATACAATACATAATCAATTACTGCACATTGTTGGAATCTTAGGCATAAATTCACTTCGAACAAAGGCATCATTTTTTCATCCCTAGTCACATCAGCTCATTATGTTGCCCTGGAATCTTGATTTACTCGTATGAATACTGTTAATGACATTAGTTCCTCACTCTCCATTTTACATTGATTTGTTGCTCTCAGCCACAGTGGTTTATCTTGATCTGTTTTTCTCTAGGCTAATGTGGTTTTTTTTAAGTTTTATTTTTCACTTAATTATTCCATTTTTCGCTTTATATTTCAGATCAATTTTGTTTCTTGTCGGCTCTGGCAAGTCTTGAAAATGAGCGTCTGTTTTTGAGTGCTGTTATTTCACTCATTTCCTATTTATATATTTTCGCAGCGAATGAAATTTTTTTACAAGGTCAGAGCTTATATTGTTACTTATCATTGCTTATCTCCATACAATTCTGGAATAACTTTAAATGGGTATTCAAAAGGTTCATTCAGAAAAAATAAAAAATAAAGGGAAAGATAGAAAAGAGAAACAGCTAAATACATATTTTCCACAGCCATTTTTATTGAAATATTCTCCAGAAAATTGCAAAGAATTTCATATGAAATCCAAAATTTGCTTGTAATGAACAAGTTTGACAGGGATAAAAAATTCTTACTAAATCAGCTATAATTTTTATTATGAAAAAAAAAAAATAGCATAAGAAAAATTTTTTATTTGGAAAATATCAGTTATATTTATCTTTATTGATTAGAATATTTTAGATATTTACCAATTAAAATATTAATGTATAATTTCAAAAAGAAATTTATATATACTTTCACTACAGTATAATTAATTGATAAGTTAAAAAATAAACAAAGATTGATAAGTATGAAATCCAAAATATGATTGTAATAAGGTATTTCTTAACATGAAGATAGGATCTTTGAAAATCAGGCCCAGCAATAAACAAGTTAGTTAAAAAAAAATTTATTAAATGAGCTTTATTTACATTATGAAACAAATGACTTTAAAAAATTTCTTATAAAGGACATATCAACAACATTTACAATCTATATTGCAGTGATCCTTCAATACATCTAAGAAATATTTCAATTAAAATGTTATTGTATAAACTAAATAACCCAAATAACCATTCTTTACACTATTAATAATATACAGCTAAATACCCCTTCTGTACACTATTAATAATACATAAGTCAAAAACATTAATTAGAAACAAATAAAACTTACTTCTTAGTTTCTATTTTCTTCCCATTTACAAATCTAGTAGAAGTACTTGTCTTTTTAACATTTGGTGCTGAACCTCCTCCACTACTCATGCCTGTCATAGACACAGTGGCATTAAAACTGTTCCTAGTATCAGGAAACCTGTACAAAAAAATACATGTAATTTGTGCTAACCAAATACAAGAAAGTGCCAACCAAATGCAAAAATGAAAAATAAACTTAGATTTTTCTGAACAAAGTGGAGTTATAAGCCTAGCTAGTTCAAGGCTGAAGTAAGCAATAAATGTATTTAATAAAGGAATATGTTAGGAGATATATAAATTATCTTTGCTCAGTATAGAGCCAATGAGTCTTAATCGATATTAGGATTGCCAACATCGATGTTTTTTTAAGGTCCATTGTGTGATTTCCTAGCACTAAGGTTCTAAATTTTTATAACTAGAACATATATATTTACTTATAATACAAAACTACTGAACTGGATATAATCGATACTTTACCATTTTTTTAACCACTGAATATGCCCAGGCTCCCTAAGTTAAGAATAGGTCATCCTACCACTCTTTCTTCATACAAAGAGGATCCAAGATGTTTCATGTTTATTGAACAATAACACCAAAAGTAATAGTGGTTTGAATAATCGATAGTCGCAGTAATGGAGGATCATACTAAAGAGCAGAGACTGCACATAGTTATTTAAATTAAACATTTTCTAAAAATTGTCCTACCAAATAATAAAATTTGAACCAAGTATGATAATTTAAATTAATTAGCAAAAATGAGATCAGAAAAAAAAATATGCATTTGTAAAAGCCTTTATAAGAGGATTATTATTATTATTTTCTTTGATATCACGAAATAAAACTTTAATATTTGCAAGAGCATATAAAATGGCTTAGTCAGAAAGACATCACAGTATAATGCTGCTAATAAGGATATAAAAGATGTTAGGATATAACTGAAATTCTTTTTTTAAATACTTTCCCAACTTTCAAAATACAAATATGACAGAGCTTGGCTATAACATAATCCATTTGCAACACAGTAAGGTTACAGTACTCGAAAAATGCTTTTCATCCTGCTTGCAGTTATAGCATTTTTATTTTTACTGCTTCCGAATGTTCACACGTTCGGACTAATTCCTCCAATCATCTGTAATCAGAAAAGTGTGGTGTAATGGGTCATTTATTTCCTTTCTATATTTAGACAGATAGGTGCTTTGTCGCATAAATTAGCTTTTGTACTTTGTTGCATAAAATAGCTTTTAAGTGCAAAACCATTTGCAGCAAGAAAAATAGAGCAACCATTTGTAGGATATAAATGAAAAATATACATGACTTATTACATACAGACCCGCCAAGGGGTTAAGTTACAGTAATTTAAAACTTTATCACAACAGAGCTTACCACAATATATTCAAAGTGTTTTAGCCAAAAAGATCCCTATGCATACATTATTTTTTTTCTTCTTGCAATAAAAAGGAGAGGATGAAAGAATTGTAGCATGAAAATAACTCTTAACTTAAGTCATATCACTTTCAAGTTCTTGTTTAAAACTATTATTTTAATATTTGGGTCACAATGCAGTCTAAAAACTGAAAATTGATTATGCTGCAAAAAAGTTTTTCATATTAATTGATACAAGATGCGACTAAATCTGTAATATTCCAACAAAAATTATCCTCATACTTACATACAGTGGAATCACTGTTTTAGGTTGTCTATTTCATATGTTGTCCTAAGAAATTTTTTGCTGGTTCGTGAACACTACCTATGACATTAATGTTAAATTATACCAGATTTTTACGTTACCCTTTTAAAGAAAATTCCTGCTTTTATGTTTATTTAAGAGATTAAAATCTTTTTTCCTTACAAAGCTCACATAAGCTTTTTTTTTCTCTCCTTTTATTTTTATTTTTAATAGAATTGTTTATTAGCTGTTAAGAGCTTTTCTGACACTCTTATTGTCCTTTTGCATATACTAAGGAATTTTTGCCTATAGTCCAGAGGGTGATGAGATAGGCAAAGCACATAAAGGGTGATTACAGAAGTATGGGAGTTAAAAACATAAAATTTGTGGAGTGGAATTTTAGCAGTAAATTTCAAACTTTGAATTGTGGAATTAAGGAACATTAGACTAAAAAACTAGTTTGATAATCACTTCTTTTTCTTGATTCTGGTGACCTGCAAGATTCTTCAAAAGCAAAAAATAAATGTAGAATCTGAATTTTATTTTTACAGCATTAGACAGTTTCTACCAAAATGCGTTTTAAATGGGTTTAATAAAGCTTCTCTGGATTAATTGCTCTTCAGTATACAGCATTGGCTCTTCAGACTAAAACTGCATGTCTGAAGAAGTTGGTAAAGCATAAATTGACTGCAATACTCATTCCATTGCTTTTCAATGTCTTATTTAATGCCTGCTCTAAATGATAGTGATGAAAACAATGAAGATGAACAAAAAGTATTGGCTGATATACCTACAACTGATCAAGAGTTAAAAAGCTCAAACACTCTGAAACAAAGCAAACAGCAAATTTGCAAACAAATTTGCAAACGATTGATAGTGATATTAAAATTGTATCTAAAAGATTACACATTTTTTCTAGTAGTTCATCTTGTAATCGTTAATTTTTGTAGAATACCCTTATTTTATGTAATCCTGTTTCGTGTGTTTTTTAATGCTAGTTCTATGAAAAACGTAAAATTTGGTTTCCACTGTATATACATATACATAAGGTGAGTTCATCTTTAAAAGCATTATAAAAAAAATATTATAAAAGCATTCAAAAAATATATAGAATTGTTGAAATTAGAATGCAATCAAGAATATTTCATTTCTATCAAAAGAAACAAAATAAAATAATAAACACTTAAAACAGAAATTAACCCCTTAACTGCCGAGTGAAATTAACGTGATTCACTCCTCAGTGCCACCGTTTTTCGCTCAAGTGCACTTTCTTACACGGTGTTTGGAGTGGGAAAAATGATGCATGCTTTGCAATTTAAAAACAGTTTAATTTTACAAGAAAAAGGAAAGAAAGAAAATACAAAATTTAAATTAAATAATAAAAATACAATATAAAAGATGTTAAAACTTAGCTGTTGTATGATAAATCCTGAAACATGGTTGGACACATAAACCAACATCACATTCATCGGACTGATAGCGGGAATCACGAAGAATTTTTTTTCTTGTACAAACAGCACATTTTCGTGATGCATTTTTCTTTGAAGACGTTGATGGAAAGAATAAAAAGCACCAAATACATACGGGAAACAAAAGCGAAAAAAGAATAAACCCGACCTTACTGAAATAAATACACACAAGCGATTAATACGATATCACTTTTCCATAACATCCTTTTCCCCCTCCTCCTAAATTTGCAATATATTCGCAAAGCAAACACTTTCAAGGCCATTTTACTGCATTCTGAAGAAGGGGGTGTAGTTCTATTTATAGCAGCGCAATGCAAAGCATCGTACTTCAGGAAAGCATATATATACGCCTGCGGCAGTTAACGCATCGTCTGGCCGAGACGTATATATACTCCCGCGGCAGTTAAGGGGTTAATGTCTGAAAAAATTTTTTTTCTTCTTTTCTCATCATTATACTACATTTAAATGAATCATAAATAACTTTTTTTTGACAATTTGGAAAAAACAATCAACACTAAAAATAACTAAATACATAAAATATTCAATATATCGTCAATAAAAAGATAAATTGCTGTTAATTTACAAAAATGACAAACTTACGCTGAATTCATATCTAGGAAATTAAATGGAAAAGAACTATGAAAACCAAATCCAGCTGTTTGAAAAGGATCACGTGTTCTAAGACCACCTAAAAATTGGAATTAAACAAAATTATAACGTATACAAAACAAAATTATCAAAATTATTGTTTATCTTCAAAGCTTCTCAAGATGATGAGCTGCAGGAAATAAATATTAAAAACTATATATGGCATTTTAAAACAATTATTTAAATTTTATTTATACACTTAATGTTCAAAAATAATTTTCTTATCATTCACACTGACAACTTAAGAACTTAACACAACTTAAAAACATTGAAATATATTTTTTAAGAAGTTAAATACTTTATATATGTTACCAGCAAAGTATGAATACATATGCCGATTTTAAGCAGAGAATGAAATATAAGAATTACTGCATACTTCTCCTGAGAACTGTATGCTAAATAATTAATATCTGGCTATTCTATAGAATGACTAAATGCTATTTGGTCATGAAAGTCCATGTTACTCAGGCATGAATTATGAAAAAAAGTCCTGATAGAGCTATTATATGAATAACGTGCATTCTCAAATATACAAATGTTATTCTGAAACAATAATGAGAGTGCCGTTAAAAAAATTTATTCAAACTAAGAAAAATGAAAGTTGTACAAAACAAAATTAACGCATTTCTTATTAAGGGAAACAAAATTTATGCATTTATGTAAGGGAAACAAAATTTATGCATTTATGTAAGGGAAACAAAATTTTCATATAAAAAATAAGAAATTAAGGTTTGTTGCATCATGGTAGGCTTGGATGACATTTTGAATTCCACTTCATCTCATTCAAGACGAAAAGGAGATTTATTTCATTCCTTGCTGGTTTCTCATTTGGCATTCAATAGAATGTCTTAGAAATGTGTGAAAAATGAATCATTTCACACATCGCTGACTAGCTTTCTACATTATATACAAGGGGTGCACAACCTTTTTGAGTAAAGGTACAGCAGGTAGATTAACGAAGGGCTGTATGTATATTTAGACTTGTTAGATGCAAATATGACAATTTTTATCAGTAAACTTAACATATTTGCTTAATTATTTAGTTTATTTAAAAATAAAAAAACTTTTTTTAAAAAACTTCGTTCATATTTTACAATAATTTATTTATTAAATATAATATAATATATATATACATACATATACCGGGCCAGCACTGAAGATTTCAAATGATTAGCCAGTAAATTAGCCAAATATCAAAAGTATTCACAAATTTTTGAAAGTCTTTGCCAAATGCAAATCCTAAAAATTTTTATGATTAATTTTTTCCCCATAGAAAACTATTTTACAGGGTAGTGTGTTTCAGGATTATATTATTTGGACCCAATTCGAATTGGTTATGCATCGCATCTACCAAAAATTACTGTATCAATACCAATTTATTTAGAAAAATTCCTTTTAATATAATTTTGGAGATGGAGTAAAAAATATTTTTTTCTATCGAATAGGAAAAAAAATCAAAATTTCATACGCCAAATTTATGATTTAATCACATTTGGCAAGATGGTGCGCTTAGCGCAAGCCTTGTGTGTGTATATATATACACACACACAAATATTGTGGGAAGAGAATATAAATTCGAACCAAAAAAAAAAATTTAAAGCTTACAGAATAAAAGTGCAAAATTAAATTTACACATTTGATAGAGTAACCTAAATTTGAATTAAATATTTTTATTAAAGAAAATGTACAATCTTTAAGCAAAAACCAAAAATTAAAACAAATCCATTAAAATACAAAATAAAACTCAATATTTATTTAGTATTAATTTTCGGATATTTCTATTTCTTGAATTATTCGAGGTATTCATTTTACATAGAAAACGTTTTTGTTATAATTGCTTTATAAAAAAATCATTTAAGCTAAAAAAATTTAAAATAAAATAAATTACAAACAGTAAGCAGTTTAAAAACTCACGCTCTCCTCAAGTTTTTGAATTTTTCATGGTACCAACTGCTGAAATGGCGAAAAAATAACTTATATTTACGATGAAACATACACATATAAATTGTATGAAATATTGATAATTTAAATTTGCAATCAGAATCTACGTATCGTACTAACTACATAGTTAAAGTAACGTGATCATCAAAATCACAAAAAGCATCGCAATAACTTCAACAAAAAATCATTACATTTACTATGAAATTAGCATGATTAAAGTCACCAATAAGTGATTATTTAAATGTGTTATTTAAAACTCGCACATACTCATAAAAATCCGAATTTTTAAAACTGCGCGAGAATGCTTCAGAGAAACTGCCGAAAAAAATATTGAAAAACAACTTGAATTTACAATGTAATTGGCACAAATTAAGAAGGGCAAAAAGTGATAAATTAAATGCGTGATTTATAACTCACGAGTCATAATATCAAAATAAACATATTTGGAATTTATAAACCAGGTGGAAATCAGTAGTTATAAATGCCAAAGCGATCTAAATGTCACTCGGATTTGTGACGAAATTGGAAAAAACAAAGCATATCAAAAAGTGATTATATAAATGGGCAATTTGAAATTTGCGCATCATAATAAAAATATTGGATTTTCAAAATCAAGTGGAAAAACATACCAATAATTTTGCTTGCAAAAAAGATAAAATTGGCAAAAATATAGTATGTCAAGAAGAGATAAATTAGATCGATTTTTACCTCATGAGTTGTAATAAATGTATTGGGAAAATATAAACTAAATGGAAATTAGTAGTTATAAATGCAAAAAAAAAACGAAAAAAAAAAAAACGATGCAAACGTTATTTGAATTTATGACATCGGCACAAATTACTAAAATTTTAAAATCTTGTATTGTAATGTGGAATTTTGTAGCAATAACTAATGAAATAGCGATCGAGAAACAACATAGATTTACAATAGAATCAGAGCAAATTGAGCGCATTAAAAAGTAATTACTCAAATGTGTGATTATATACAACGCTTATGCTTTGTATAAACTAGAAACATCTAAATAGTTTGCATTCAAAGATAATGCTGCCCTAAAATTTTCACCAAATTATAATTAACTTTCATAGTTTGGAGAAAGTTTTTCTCCTAATATCATAGTTACATAGCTAAAATTAGCCCTATGACTAGGACTGGGCTATAAATCGATGCATCACGAAATATCGATTTAACACATATATCTGCAGGCCGATATAATGACTTTCGTTTTAGGCGATGCATCAGAAATCTGATTTAAGCTGCCGAGAGTGACTCTCGTTTCAGGTGATGCATCAGAAATCTGATTTAAGCCGTCATGTAAGACAAAGCTCGCGGTTTAACGATACAACGATTTAATATGTGAGAATACTCGCATACGCTAACGCTGTCACCGCGGAGACAAAGACTAATTTGATTTTGTCTAACTGCGAGCTGTAGATAGTGTCTAGCTACAAAGACGATGCTAGTTTCATGATGTTGAATAACGAAAAGCGAATTGAATCAGAACTCCTGGTTTCGTGCAAGGATTGGTGTTGAGATATAACGCTATGAATAGTTTCTTTATGTGCCATTTTTGTCTTTGGAAGTTTACTTTTCTAGAAGATTATTTTCAGCTGGATTTACGTTATTTTGTGATCGATGAGCACTTTACTACTTAGCGATCGTTTCATTGTGCATTATTTCGTCAGTTTTTCTTCTTTCTTTTTTTTGTCTGCCAGGATTTAACGATTCTTGTAAATTATTTTTAGTAGACCTACTGTTATTGGCAATCATTGCGCAATCGCTATTATCTTAAATTTTTGTTCTGAACTCAATCTTTTAATGAAAAGAAAACATGGAAAAAAAAGATTCTTCATTGTTTTGTTTTTCTAATTATTATTTTTAATTTTAAGCGATACAATTTAATAAGGGTATTTTGTATTTAACTTTGTTATAAAAAGTTAGTTTCTTTTTTTAAATTTATTTAATGCACGTAAGTATAATAATTTGATAGAATTTGATTATTCTTAAACAAATAAATCTTCAGTCATTTTTAATTTTAAAAAAAATTAGCTTATAGTTAAAACAAATATTTTTTTTAATTGAATAAAAAGTTAAGCAATGATGTTTTGACGCTTTTTAATAATTTAACAATACTTAAAAGTATTTTTTAATTTTTCTTAAAATTCTTTCAATACTTGTTTGTTTTATAATTTGTTAGACAGTCTGTATCAGTTGTAAGCAAATAAATCCATAGTCGATTTTATTTTCAAAAAAGAAAATAATAATAAATAAATAAAAAACTTACATTTATTTTTACATTCATTAAGTATAAAATTAGACCATTAGTTAATACAACGTTGCTATTTTAAATAAATTAATTAAAAAAGGTCTAACAATGCTTCAAAAGCACATATTTTTTTCAACAAATAATTTAAAAAATGTTTTACTGAAGAGAACATTTCTTTAGTTTGTTTTTTTCCTTTCGTTTTTTTTCTCCCCCTTTTAATTTTTAATGTATGCATGTAAAATATTTTGTTAGTTTTATTATTATTTTTAAACCAATAAATCTCAGGGTCATTTTTAATTTAAAAAATTTTTTTTTAAATAAAGCTTGGGTTTATTTTTACTTAAGACANTTCCTTTTAATTTTTAATGTATGTATGTAAAATATTTTGCTAGTTTTATTATTATTTTTAAACCAATAAATCTCAGGGTCATTTTTAATTTAAAAAATTTTTTTATATATAAAGCTTGGGTTTATTTTTACTTAAGACATTTAATTTTGTAATCGATTTATTCCTTTTATTTATTTTTTATTAATTTAAAGATTTCTGATAGATAATTTTTGAACATATGCTAAATTGCAATACATCGCTATGTCTAACAGACGATGTATCACGATATAAAATTTCTTACATCGCTCAGTCCTACCTATGACTATAGCTTCTTGGTAGATGCAGAGCTTGAATCAAATCCTGCTCAACTATTTTTTAAAAAAATCAATAACAGAGGTCTGCCCAGGGCAAATTTACGACCATTTAGCGGTACCTGCACAAATTCAGCACTAGAAAAAATAGTAATTTCACAAAATACTTTAAAAAAGCAAATTCTAAGATTCTCTGATTCAAGCCTTTTAAAATTTTGTTTTTGAATCCCCATAAAAAAATATATAATCCCAGAGTTTTTGAAATGAAACAACGAGGTTCTCTCTCTATGAACTATACAGGAAGTCAATATTCGAACATCATTCTAAACATTCGAACATTATCTTTAACATTATTGTAAATTTATTCTAACAGACCTTTATTTTTTTTCCTCGTAAATGTTCTCGTAATGAAAATTATTTTTAGTTCTAGTACTGTTAAATGCAAGTTGAAATTTAACTATGGACAAAGGATTTTTAAATTTGGATACAATTTTAAGCTCGAAATTTTACAATAGCAAAATTATTTTTTAATATATGGGGAAAAATATATAGAGAAATTTACCAGTCATAAATGATTTTTATTTGTAGAGACAATTCTTAAAAATAATTTCTTATATTACCATATTTGGTGTTGATTTTTTAATTTAACTTTTAATTTTCACCAGGGTTGGCAAGTTTTTGACACATGACGGTTTTTACCGGTTTATACCATGGTTTTTACCGTCATGTCAAAAACCCCTCTGTCAAAAATGTCAGAAACTGTCAAAAACCCATAGTTTTGATATAACTGTATTTTAATTTGAGTTTAACTGTTTGATTTAAAATTAATTCATTTTTGGGCAATAAAATTAGAAAAAAAGTTGTTAAAAGATATTTAAGAACAGATTTTTGCATTTTCCCAACATGATTATATCAAATCATACTATTTGAAGTAAAATATTAGGATGCTAAATAAAATTTTCAACATTTCCAAGCATCATTTTGTTTGGCATATTACATTATTGAAGAATGTCGAGTCATTCCTGACTTAGAGTTTGCTAGTAGTTACAAGTTTTGAAAGTTCTGTTTAGCTAGTTCTGTTTAGCAAATTTTAAATTCTTCTTTTTAGTTCTTGAATTTATTAATAGTTCCAATTTTGTTTGTTTGTTTGTTTATTTCTTACAATTAAGAAGTGCAAAATTTTGAATCCTTTGCAAATCAAGCTATAATGATAAATCACTATTTTCTATCACTATTTCAATAATCACTATCACTATTTTCAATAAGTATGTTACAATATTTATGTATGAAGGTATATCCTTCTATAAGAATATGTGTATATAGTTGCAAAATCAATAGCAATCATTTACAACATTCATTTATAAAGACAATTAAGTGAAAATAATATATTGTCCGCTATATGCCATAAATTAAAGAAAACAGTAGGTTTTTGACGGTTTTTACAGGTAAAAACACGGTTTTTACCACTGTCATGTCAAAAACCAGTTTTTGACGGCAAAAACCCAACCCTGATTTTCACAAATTATGTCTAAATTTTCACAAATTAGGTCTCTCAAACAAACCTAGACAGAACCCTGAATAAGAAAAGAAAAAAAATGTCTCAATCAGACAGTTGAATCTAAATATAATGTCTTTTCTGACATATTCGGATATAAGTTTTAAATAAATTTCAGTGATCTCTATAACGTAAAATCTGACTTGTCAGACCAAATTTCTAAGTTTATTCTTGATTATTTGTGAATAAGAAAATCATGTATGATCTTCAATACACAAATACTCAGTTATATTCAAAAGACATAAGTATGAAATTCTTAACTTAATATTTCCCTTTATTATTCGCTTACGATATATTCTTGAATATTATCTTAAAAACTTATCTGAACTAGTAACTTTAGTAAAACATTAAATATTTCCGCCTGGTTAAGCTATTGAGTGACTTTATATAATTTGTAAACAAACTAGAAAAATATCTAAATTTGTAGAAAATTAGACAAAAAGCTTAAAATCAAAAGATTAAAAAACTTTATAATACATTTAAATTTTTTAAATAAAAAAGTGAAAACTAAACATTACTAAAACTAATTATATACATTACCGCTGTTTCCATTGTGGCTTTTCCCAACTTGGTTGTTGCCAAAGAAATCAGCAAAAGGATCTCCACCAAAAAATTCTCTGAACACATCTTCTGGATTTCGGAATGAAAATTGGAAAAATGGTGAAAAGTCATGATCGAAATCTGTTGTAGAGCCTCTCCCATGATAATTTCGGCGCATTCGTTTGGCACCACCATCTAAACCTTCTTTACCATACTGATCATATATTTTACGTTTCTTTTCTAAATGAGATACAAAATTATAATATTAAGGTCTAAATAATAAATTAGAAAGTATAGGAACTAAAAACAGTATACCTTATCAATAAAACCCTACTTAAAGAATAGTGAAATTAAACTATTCTGTTAACAAATTAGCAACGATTATTTATACCATTTCAAAATATATCACATCAAAATCCTAGATTAGCAAACAATGGCTCTTACAAATGGCATAACCAAAATTTTCAACAAAAGATAAGCGCCTTATAAGGTCTTACTTTTTAAGGAGACAAAAATATTTTTGGCACTTAATTTCTTAAAAAAAAAAAAAAAAAAAATAAATANTATGTGATATGCACAGAAATGAATTTTTTCCCCCACTGTACAAAATTCTTCGTATATATATATATATCTTTATTTATAAGAGAATGGAATGATAACACATAGCCAATCACAGAAGACTTCTGGTTAGTAACGCACAAAACAGCCAATCAAAATTGAGAACGCATGTATGTGAAAAGGTAATAATTTTTNCGTATATATATATAAATATCTTTATTTATAAGAGAATGGATTGATAACACATAGCCAATCACAGAAGACTTCTGGTTAGTAATGCACAAAACAGCCAATCAAAATTGAGAACGCATGTATGTGAAAAAGTAATAATTTTTAATAATGCTGTCAAAAAATACAAAATACAAACTGACCTCAAATCAGGGTTGCAACTGAAAAAAATGAACAAAATAGTTGCTTTTAGTAGAAATAGTTGCCATAAACTATGAAAATAGTTGCCTAAATAAGAACAAAAATTCAGCAAAAGTAAGACTAAAATTTTATTAAATGACTTAATTGTCATATACCATGATCCATTAAGTCAAGTTGGTGGCAAATATGATAATTTTTAAAAATTGGGTTTTTTAAAATCATGCAGAATTTCGTAGCAATAACCGTTGAAAAGGTGATCGATAAGCGAAATAGACTTAAGATAGAATCTGTTCATATTGAACGCATTAAAAAGTGATGACTTAAATTTGAAATCTAAAATTTTTTATTTTTTAATTATTTATTTAATTTTTTAAAATGTTATTATCTTTATTTTAAATTTTTTTTTTTTTTAAGAAAAGAAATTCAGTGTGTTCAGAAGATTTCGCGGGTCGCAGGTTTTCAACCCAATTTATGCTAAAAAAANACTTGTTACGTAAAGCTATAAAAAGACCGAACGATTATTTATGCAAACGAGTATATGATTATTATGAAAACTTCATGTAAACGATTGTTTATGACGTCGTTAGATAAAAGTGTCATTAACGCAATATTATCCGGTGTTTATTAATAATTTTGAGTGGCAATGTAAAAAGATAGTTGTTCTAAAGTTTTATAATAAAATTTTTGTTTTCATAGAACGCAGTTATTTATTTTAGAATTCCATTATATTTTAATAGCTTTGATAAATCGGGTAGAGTTATTGGAAGCACGAATCAACACTCTCTCAAAAAACTATTTACCTTCCAAATTATCAAAATATTAGTATTTTAAAGTAAACTCTATTCAATATATCTTTTATAAAAAATGGATCGCCGGAATATCTTAGGCGATATCAACAACGTCATAGAGCTGAACATGATATAGCTGCACAAAATTAACTGGAAAATAATCGTAGTGCTATCAGTACGCGATGGCAGAATGCGCGGCGAAGAAGCTTTGAAAAGTTAAGGTGTTTAAATGAAAACGAATACCTTGGGTGTACTTACGAATACTTCTGATTGAAACTAAAATATTTTGTCAGTTGACAGTATTGAAGTTAATTGAGAAATTACTTGCAATGATATTTGATTTTGAAATATTACTTAAAATCAACTTATTAATATTACATGTTTTAATTTGTTTGTAATTTTTGTAAAGTTTTTTTCCATCAGGTTTTAATTGTTTTTAGTTTAATTGTAGTTTTTAGTTTAATTGTTTTTAGTTTAATTGTATAGGGAGTGTCCGGCATCCTATAAGATCAACAATGATTTGAGTTAGGCTTTACCACGAGTGCTTCGGATACGGAGATCAATCTCCGGCTAATGCCCTATAGTAATGTGTTAAATAATATTGCTTCCTTGCTTTATATAAGTTTATAATATTGTTTGCATTGAAATTGCTTTTTATATAAGTTTATAACGTTGATAATAAGTTCCTCTGACATTTTACAATCCCATCATATTCTCTCTATGTGATGTTGGTGCAGAAAAATTGCCAGCTAATCTCCAGGAAAACAACTATAAGTTTGTTTGAAAATGTAATTGCTTAGCAATTATTGGGGGTTGGCAAGTGGTAGTGAGCAGGGGACGCAGCCCTCTAGTATATACATAAAATTATTAAAATGCAATAACATTTTCAGACTTTACATAATCATGATAATATCCTTCTATTTTTTAAATAAATAATGACTTTATTCAATAATGTATGATGAATACCTAACATAGAGAGGTAAACAAATAAGTGAATGTTCCCCAATTAAATTTTTATTTAAATTTGTAATTGGGTTCAGTATATATTTAATAAAATAGTTTAAAAAATTTCAATGATTTTATAATTAAAATATAATTAGCGTTGAAGCTAAACATTTCAGTCAGAAGTCAATTAATACATGGTACCTAAACTGAGAGATCCCTATATGACATTATAGACCTTTTAATCTATATTATTCTAAACTAAATAATAAAAATATAAATTTTATCATTTCTAAATTACTAAAGATCACTTATTGCATTTGTTAAATGTTAAAACGTTTCTCAATTCATACTATTTAAAATCTTGTCTCTGAAAACTAATGGGGATTTCTCCCCCTAAGTATTTCCAAGAGAACTGAAAATGTTAATAATAAATCCAATAAAATACGACTGCAACAAAAATCCTAAAATATTTTGCACAACTAGTGAGCTTTTTAAACACAAAATGTTGGGATTAAAAAATTTCATTTAATTCTTATCTTAATTAAATCAAAAGAACAAAAAGGAAACAAAAATTTTAAAGTGATGTTAAGTTGTTGTACTGAACTATAAATAGAACACTGCAAGAACGCCATCAGCTTGTGTGACGACGATGGTGAAGGGGCTTCATCAGTAAAGAGATTAACAAACAAAACAAAAACGTTGGTTATTGGGAGAAAAATTTGGTAATGCTTAATTCAAGTCCATAATAAAATTTCAAAATTCTCCATTCGATTTCAGAGGACAATAGATAAAGCCTGAAATCCCTAAACTATTGCTAAAGGCAGGGTTGGAAATATGATTGCAAGAATCCTTCCTATCAAATTCAGTTTAGCGCAAGCAGATCCACGAGTAACATGTAGAATGATGACGTATTGGTACAATAGGGACAGCACGCTAGGACTGTTGTTGAATGAATTGTGAAAAAGAACAGAACACTGCAAAAATATCACACTTTTTCCAAAATTCATGGGGATAATAGACAGGGCAAAGAAGAAAGAAGAAAAAAATAAATTTATCATACTAACACCCAATGAAAAAAGCACCTTTAAGCACATTTCAAAAATGTTATGCAGCACTAATATTACTAATTAATTTACAAAAAAATGCTTTAAATATTATAAATAGAATTTTATGATGTATATTTCCGAATAATGTTTAAAATAAGCACCTTATTATAAAGACTTACTTTTCAAGCACTCAAAAATATTTTTAAGCACTAGATTTTTTAAAAAAATAATAATTTAACTACGATTTTTCTTCCTATTGTATAAATTAGTGTTTGAAAAATCAATTGCAATGTTATGTTAACACCCACTAGAACGTAATATAAGTCCAGTATTTATGAGATATAAGGAAATATTTGCACTGATTTAAGTAGTTATGATACAACAAAGTCAAATTATAACGTAAGTTGTCATTTGGATTACAGAAGTCGTTATTACATTACTGCTTTACCTTAATGAAAGTGGAAGGACAGCCCTAATTAAAAGCTTTGATGGTTCAAACATAACTCTCTTCTGCTGTGAAATTTTTTGTTTTATCAATCAACAGAAAAATAATTATTAATGTGCATATTAGTAGATAGATAAAGTGGTAGAAAATTAATGATTTAAACAGGTAACGGCTTGTTCTAAAAAGAGACTCAGAAATTCTCGGAAGTCCTGTGTCCAAAGGACATGTAGTTTCCAAAGTCTAGTGGAATCCTGTTTAAACAATTTAAGCTATTAATCTGAATGAACAAAATTAAAGACAAGCCAACTGTCGGTTGTTTGCAATTTGTGTACACAGCATTTTAAGGAGGTATAAAGCGAAGAGTCTAGAACGATTTACACTAACATTACACTAATACCATTGATTTAGAGCAATGATGTTAAAGAAAAAGTTAGGCTCAATGTGGGAGCACAAAATACTCAATTTGTTAAGCTGGACCAATTAGAAAGCATAGTTAATGATGAAATATGATTGTGAGCCTGCATCATAATTTGTGAGTGAACTGTGGTATTTAAACTATGAACTTTAACAACAAAGTGGATTTGACCTTCTAGTTTGCAAGAAAAATACTTTCAATGCATAATTAATTACGGGGTGGCCACTTGAATCAGATTTCAAATTTCCCTGATTTTCCAGATAAAAATCTTAATTTCCTGGTTTTTGTTTCTTTTTTCTTATAAAGTGTAGGATGTGTACAAAAAAAAGTGTCTACATTATAAACTATTTTATTCAAAATGTTTTTTTTTTTAAACTANACGACATGCAAATTTTAAATCGTGCATTTGACACGCTTTATTCATGCTGAGTTCAGCATAAATATAAGTAATTTTTTCCCCCAAGTATTTCTATACATTTCCACATGATTTTGACGATCCCGTTATTTAACTATGATGTTATTACGGCACGTGATTGTTAATTGCGCAATTAATTAATCACTTTTTGATACGGTATTTCGGTGCAGTTTTACCGTAAATCCTAGTTATTTTTCCTTCGTTTTTTTCCGCAACGAATATGATTTGGTCGAATGTGGTAATGAATTGTGATTTGGTCAAAAACCAAATATTCGGCAAAATAAAAGGAAGAAAAAAAATCGACTGAACGCCGTACACTTGGGGCCAAATAGCAAAATCATTTAGCAGCATAGCAACTCTGAAACTAAAATTTCAATGCTCAGAATAATATTTCCTAGAAAAAAGTATTCATAAATTAACTCTAAAAAATAAGGCCAATCAAGAACGTTTTTGAAAATGTCAAAAAGCGAAAAAGAGAACATAAAAATCAATCTTAATATTAGAAAGAAAATTTTAAAGCTGAACATCTCAGTTTTCAAATTACCAGAAAAAGCCAAGAAAAAAAGAATTAAGTCAACAGAAATGCTATTAAAAATTACCGCATTATAATAAAAACGTCTAAAAAAATTTTAAAATTTTATTTAAAGAAAATAAAAAGTTCGAAAAAACGTTCTTAATTTTTTAAATGAAAATCTTAAGCTAAAAATCTCAATTTAAATTTTTCTCATTGCCATAATTTTTGAAGAAAAAAAATTGCTATAATGTAAATTTTATTAGTAACTTTATTTTTAAAAAAAATGCTGAGTCATAATAAAAATGCCTAAAACAAGAAAAACAGAAAAAACTAATTTTTCTTTGCTCCTGAAACAAAACTTTAATACTGAAAATCACACTTTTCTAAGTTACTGGTTATTTATATTACAGTACAAAGAAAGAGTGATAATAAATTAATAGTATGAGACGTTCTGTTAAAATGCTAAATTATAATAAAAACAGCAAAAAATGTAAAAAAAAAAATCCTTCTCAATTCTCCAAGTATCGAAAAAATGACAAAATTGACTTGTCTGATTATAATTATTTTTTTTTAAAATTAATACATATCTATAAAAATTCAAAAGTAAAAAAAACTTAGAAAAATACATTTCTAAAAAATATTCTTCCGAATATTTGACTGATCATTCAACCAACTGAATTTTTCTACAGAAGGGCCAAATATTCGTTACATCCCTAATTTAAATGCACTGTTATTGCAAATTCAGAAATTCATAAAATGACGAAAAACGTGAATTTTTAAACTGCTCACTGTTTGTAGTTCAGATTTAAATTTTTTGTTGCTTAAGTGATCTTTTTCGATAAAAAAAGGAAAATGTTTACGATATAAAAAATCTAATAATTAATAAAATGAAATAATAAAGTACAATACAAAATAAGCATTGAATTTTATTTTAAACTATCACAGTTTTGTTTTTATTTTAGGCTTTTGTTTGAAACCTGTAAATTTTCTTCAATTGAAATATTTAATTTGAATTTATATTGCTTAATTATGACAAAATTTTTTCCTACTTCCATTCTGTGGGCATTGCAGTTTTTTTTTATTTATTAGAATTTAATTCTAAAATGAATTTTTGTATTGCATGATATGATTAAAAAAAACATTTCTTTTGTTCAATGTTTATTTATTTTGATAAATCTATTGTTTATATGATAAAAATAGCAATTTTTTTTGTAAAATAAATTTTTTTGTAAAGTATAATTTATTTTTATTTTTGAATGAATTCTAATACTGGAACACCTTTAATATTTTACAAATATATTACTAAGTTTATTGATAAAAAAAATAGAACGCTAATGCTTAAATAAACATTACTACATTTGTCATTAACATGTCTAAATACATGTGCGGCCCTTCGTTAGCCAACCTGCTGTGCAAGTGGCCCTTCACTCAAAAAGGTTGTGCATCCCTAGTCTAGAACAATTTACACTTACATTACACTAATACCATTGATTCAGAGCAATGATGTTAAAGAAAAAGTTAGGCTCAATGTGGGAGCACAAAATACTCAATTTGTTAAGCTGGACTAATTAGAAAGCATAGTTAATGATGAAATATGATTGTGAGCCTGCATCATAATTTGTGAGTGAACTGTGGTATTTAAACTATGAACTTTAACAACAAAGTGGATTTGACCTTCTAGTTTGCAAGAAAAATACTTTCAATGCATAATTAATTACGGGGTGGCCACTTGAATCAGATTTCAAATTTCCCTGATTTTCCAGATAAAAATCTTAATTTCCTGGTTTTTGTTTCTTTTTTCTTATAAAGTGTAGGATGTGTACAAAAAAAAGTGTCTACATTATAAACTATTTTATTCAAAATGTTTTTTTTTTTAACATATCTTGAAAAAAATTTATTTTGACAATCTGGTAAGATTTTTTATTTATTTTTAAATGTTTTGGTACAAAATTTTGAATCAAAAATCATATTGACCAAAAAAAAACTTTTTTTTCAAAATTAAAATATGTTCCAACTAATTTTTGGAGTATTTATAAAGTTAAAAATACAAAAACATTCTGTCAACACGGAAAAAAATTACCACGAAACCATCGGAACAAACTTTAGCCATAAATGGATTCAGCCTAAAGACAGAATTTAAAAACAGAAGCTAATATCCTAATCCCTACTTCCACCTCCACCACAATCTTTCCTAAATTGCACAGTCTCATAGCGGTCTAAGGTTTCTACATTCGTTCAACAACCATGGAAGAATTTTATTTTTCCATTCTAGTTCAACAGAGCTGTAATGGAGCAAATTTTGATGCAAGCAAAGTATAGCTAAGTTGATGATATTTCAACTGTTTGGAGATACATTTCCGTCTAAAAAAAGTGGGTATAATGGATAAAATGATTTAAATTAAGAAAATTAGAAAAAAATTTAAATTAGTGAAATTAAAAAAATTATCAAAGAAAAAATTTCCAGCTTTTCTTTAAAATTCCCTGATTTTTCCAGGTTTTTATCCAAATTTCCCAGATTTTTTCCAGCATAAAAAAATTCCCTGATAATTCCAGGTTTTCCAAATGGGTGGCTACCCTGTAATTAGTTTTGTAAATTTCATAAATTTACATATTTTTAATGATCCCAGAATCATGTCCCCTCAAAAATTGCAATTACTTTCCATGGATAAAATTTTGTTTCTTCAAAAATATTCTACACACATGCTTATCTATGACAAAGACAGTCCAAACTCGTCATAACGACCTTTTATATTTAAATCATTTATTAAGTACAAACATGGGTAATTGTGATACTAAGGGAAAAACCCGGAAAATTTCATGTGCAAAAAAATTGATATTAAGATATTAACTTATATGCCATACATATTTCATATTTAACTTGAATTATACATATTTCATATTTAACCTGAATTATACATATTTCATATTTAACTTGAACATTAGAATATGAATTGCAATATTAGCAGTGCTAAATATTCAAAATTGCAAAAATCCGCCAAACCAAAAAAATTACTTTAGTGGCGGAAGAACCACATGTAAGCAAATGCAAGGTTAACGGGATTTAGCAAAAAATTCACAATTTTGCCGGATTATAAGTTTTTTTAATCAAGGAAGAGTGAAAAACAATGGTATTGAGATATGCAAATTTCTTCGATAGTCGTGGAAAAATCATATGCCGTGCTTCTAGTTATTGCTCGGGAAGAATTATACGAAAAAAGGGTATTGAGTGGTACATTTGGAATACAATCACCCCTGTATAATACATGCATAATTAAGCAAAAGCAAAATAAATAAATAACAAATAAGTTAAGAAGAAATAAACTATAAAATCATACACATGATTTTTTTTTCTTAAATATACACTTTCAATAAAACTAAGTTGAAACTTTAATTTGGCAACAGTGTTTTTTCCTAACTACAAAAGAATTTTTACAGCAAATTAAAATATTATTAAATTATCTTCACACCAAGATGGATAAAATTGCATACATATAAAAAAAAATAATAACTCACCATCAGACAGAACTTCATAGGCTTCATTGATTTCTTTAAATTTCTTCTCAGCCTCTTCTTTTTTATCTAAATTTTTATCAGGATGCCATTTTAGAGCAAGTTTTCTGTACCTAGAAATTTAAATACAAATATTTAAGATTGAGAAGGGAAAAAAAAAGAGAATTTCTACAAAATAACTCAAATTTATGTACAAAATTGCATACCATGCACTAAACAGATTAATAAGATATCAGTGTTTTCACTACAGCGCGAGAACCTCGCATATTTTTTTCCTTCCTCGCATTAAAAAATTATTAATGTGAGAAGTTCGCGCAACCTATTAATGAATTTCAAAATGCGTGAATCTTGCGAATTTTGGAAAAAATTTCGTCTTCAGCCATTTTGAATGAAATCCGCTTTGTTTTTCTTCCTTGATCTTTCATTATTTTCAATATCAGTCCTTGTTATCTAGCTTCCCTATTTACCAGTATTGTTTAGAACCAGAACACCCCCTCCCGAACCCCTTTCAGAACACATTTTTCTGCAAGCACGTGTTCACCGTAGGTAAGGTTTCCTCATGGAAAACATTTACATTTTTTGTGCCTGAATGTAAGATGGACAAATACATTAAGACAAATGAAACAAATGTCGGTAGAAACGGTAAAAAGCGAAACAAATACGAAAATTCAACGGATATAGATCAAATACTAGCATGAAGTATGAACTTGGAAAGATCTACAACGTACTTCACGATTTTATAGCAGAAATAATTTAAAAGCCTATGCTGGCTGATGTAGAGGATAGGAAAGTGTGTGCACAATGCTACAAATTTACTTAGTGTTTTCGAATAATTCAGCATCTGTTGCAAGGTCATTTAGCACCTAAAACCGGATTAAGACAAAATATCGTAACAGATTGACTGATAAGCATTTGAGCAACCTAATGAGAATAGCTGATGAAAAAGTAGATATAGAACATTTTCCATATGACGATGCAACAAAAATATTTAATGCTTTAAAAATTAGAAGACATTAAAAATGTATTATAATTAAAGAAATATTTTTTTTCCAAGTCTATTCATGTTTTTGTTTTTTTTAAATTTTTAGAAATCTCACGTAATTTTTTGAAATCTCACCCTGTTTTTAAAAAAGGGTGGGAATTCTCATCCATTTTCTTTTCTGTAATGAAAACGCTGGATATTTTTTAACAGCTAAACACAAATAGAAGAAAATGACAAATATATCAAAGAAAAATTGATACTCTTGCTCACCAAATAACAAATATCTCATTAATAAGAATAAAAAAAATCAGAAGGATAAATTTGTCACATAGCAATGGTACCCCTCCCCCCCATCTAACTGATTTATTTTTCCAGTGAATGCAATAAAACTTTAAATGGTTTTTACACTTATTTATCATAAATTCCTATGTATTTTTGAATAAATTATATAAGAGTAAATTTTAAATAGCACCTGCCTCAACACAAGCAATTCAAATACTAATTCTATTTCACTATTATTTCTTTTATTACATACACCCTTGTGCAAATTAATTGAAACAAACTTTTTTTTTCGTGTTTTTTAAAGAAGATGTTTTGGGGTTGTTTCAGTTACCATGGGGTTGGACCTTTGCAGCCCATTGACGGTATGATGCGTTCTGAGCAGTACATTACTATTCTGGGTAAAAAAGTTGTTCCAGAGTTGAAGAAACGATACCCTGANAAACAGATTAATAAGATATCAGTGTTTTCACTACAGCGCGAGAACCTAGCATATTTTTTTCCTTCCTCGCATTAAAAAATTATTAATGACTGAATGATGAAAACACTGGATATTTTTTAACAGCTAAACACAAATAAAAGAAAATGACAAATATATCAAAGAAAAATTGATACTCTTGCTCACCAAATAACAAATATCTCATTAATAAGAATTAAAAAAATCAGAAGGATAAATTTGTCACACAGCAATGGTCCCCCCCCCCCATCTAACTGATTTATTTTCCCAGTAAATGCAATAAAAACTTAAATGGTTTTTACAATTATTTATCATAAATTCCTATGTATTTTTGAATAAATTACATAAGAGTAAATTTTAAATAGCACCTGCCTCAACACAAGCAATTCAAATACTAATTCTATTTCACTATTATTTCTCTTATTACATATATGTATTATATTTATTATCAGATTTTGTAGTTTGTTCACTTTTTGGTTTTTCCAAAAAGTGAACAAACTAAGGTGTTAGACACTTTAAAAGATAGTAATAACATGAATGTTTGTTTTTTTTTAACTGCTTTACTAAATTATTCCATTTTTGAGACTAAGTATCAATTTGGAACAAAGGTGGTAGAAATTCTCTGCATATTTGAATACCACACTTCATCAAATAATATATATCAGAACATTTATTCAAGAGAAGAAAACAGTCAGGAAGTGATAATTTAAAACAAGTTATGTTCACATTATAAGTCAATATTTAGAATTAAATATGTCTCCTAACATGAACATATGAAATTGAAACTGTATTCTTAAATGAGACAATCTTATAAAAAGCATTTAAATTATATTGAAAAAATTATTCAAAATATTTTAAAAAATTGAGAAATTTTATTTGAACAACTAAAATTTTAAATGAGAAAAAACCCTGCTAAAACAAGTTTCAATTGATATCACACACAGAATACATAAAAGCTTGCATCCAAAAGGTTATAAAAGTATATGATATAATTAGAACTGCTAAATTTTAAATAGTAGCACTAATGAAATATTTTGTCTGTTTTTATACATAATAAACAAATAGCTAAGTCACGACCATTTATAACTGAATTTTCACAAATCTTTTTAATCCTGATATAATTTGCTAATTCTTTGCTCGTTCTCAGAGAGGCCGTATCAACAAATACAAAAATTTCATGACTGCAAGGATGCATAAAAAAAACAGTATACCAGTTCTTGAAAAATATATGTACCTCATATTTAACAAAAGCATTTTTATATTTTAGCCATAACATTTTACTAAATAAAATTCAAAAATTAACATTAACTTTAATTCACTTACGCCTGTTTAACTTCTTGAGTAGTAGCGGATTTTGATAATTCTAACGCAGCGTAATAATCAACCATTCTTCCGCACACAGCTAGAAATAAGACTATGAATTATTTACATCACAGATGAATCCTGCAATAGAAAACAAAATTTAAAGAATAATACAGAATTCATATAATAATAGTACTTTGCTAATGTTACATTATAACTACATGGTTTAGGAAGGAACCCCGAGTGTAATCTAAAAAAACCCTGATGAGAATCAAAATTTTGATGACAGGTCTTGTCATCAAAATTTTGATTCTCACCAGAAAGGATGGTTTCCCCTGTTTTGGTAACACGGTGGCCCGATCACAAAGCTGAACCCTTTGCGGTTGAACAGTATAACAAAGACTGATAACATGCACTCTCGTCCCCTTCACAGACTGATGAAAATGGCAGCGAACCTGCTCAACCCACAGCCAGTGATGCTTGACCTTGATCTATTGGGAATCGTGTCTAATGATCAGTCTACTGGAGGACAGCAGATAAACATAAAATCTTTATTTAAGTAGTAATTAATAATATATCAGGATTAAAAATTAGAATGCAACAGTCAAATGTCTATGGGACCAAAATATTTTTTCTTAGTTGCAAAAATGATTCACCAAGTCTTAATTTTAATATTCTATCCTCAAAAACACTGGAGGGAAGATAAATAACTTCTCTCCTTCAATACGAGCAGAGATTTCTAGTATGTGACATTATACAATTAACTTCCAGTCTGGACGCCTACAGAAACATAGAGCATTAAATATCTTACTTGCAACTTTCCATTCATCAAAGAGCTGGGCTAAGTTTTGAATTACAGAAGCAAAAGTATTTAAAAAGTTAGGCATCAAAAATGATGATAGAGTTTAATTAAAGTGGGGATACATAAAAATTTTTAGGGGAAAATTAAGATTATCGACTATTTATTTCGAGCTATGGTACCCTGGTTACAGTATACAATAATTTTCAATATGAAATACTGATTATGTCAATCATATCAAAATATATCTTCTGATACCGATCTACTTAGGGTATTTACAGTGAAAACCGATGTCCCTATCTTAGAGGATAGCGCCACCAGCATAAAATGTGAGTATTCAATATATATTGATATAACATTAGTATTTATTTCTTTTCCTTTTAACTGTATATATAAATGTAACATAATACATTAAGAATTNTTATGATTATAACAATTATTTACTGATAAAAAATGAATATTAATCATGAATATAAGCTTATTAAGTATATCTGTGGCTCTCCCTTACAAACAAATAAAATAAACTGTATTTTTAAGTTCCACCTTTGAAAATTTGATTTCCGGAAACTTCTGTGATCAATGATTTTTTTAAACGACTGAACCTTCGATCTCCGGAAACTTCCGGATCACTGTTAGCGAAAAATCCGGAAATCCGGATTTTTTCCGGAGCGCAATCAGCCCTGAATATTGATTATGTCAATCATATCAAAATATATCTTCTGATACCAATCTACTTAGGGTATTTACAGTGAAAACAGATGTCCCTATCTTAAAGGATAGCGCCACCAGCATAAAATGTGAGTATTCAATATATATTGATATAACATTAGTATTTATTTCTTTTCCTTTTAACTGTATATATAAATGTAACATAATACATTAAGAATTATACTCAATATTCCCTCTAAATTAGTCACACTAATGCAGTAGTGGAGTATAGAATTATAACGATTCAGTAGGTACCATGCTGACAGCTTGCATTTATTAAACTTTTTCACTGAAATGTAAACTCATATAAATTATACGGGAATATTTCCTTATCGTGATCTGTCACACCAACTGCAATCGCCAAGGTGCCAAATAGATTTTAAACTTGCAAATTTTTTTAAAAAGAATATGTGGGGGTGGCTACGAGTTATCCTACCTTTCGAGTTGGCCCCTTTCTGTGATGCTTTTTTTAGTTTCTCGCTGGCCACTGACCGGAAGTTTCCAAGATTTGGCGATTATTCTACCACAGATCACGATGCAGAAATCTCCCCAATTCTACATTAGGAAATTGAAAATTAGACAAATTTGAAGCCCATTGGTATCCAAGTTCTTGAAAATGATTAATCCAATATATTTTAATCAGTGCAAGAATAATATTTTTTCTTACAAAATTTTGTTAAACATTGAAAAAGAACTACTTTCAAATAAAGAATTTTGATGGTAATGGGAAACAATAAACTGAATTAATTAAAAACTTAGCAGTTTTGAGAACATTTACTAGTTCAAAGCTAAGGTGATTTGAAGAGCACTCCACTAGCTGTAGAATTTAACCAATATATTATTCTGCTGCACGTTAATGAAGTAAAAATCCAACTAATTTTTCAAATCAATTAACTATAGTAGGGTTACAGTGATTTTTGCCATCAGTTTAAAAACATAACATTAGAACATAATTGTTAAACTTACATATTTTCTTACTTCCTTAATGTTTAAAATTGTATATTACAATATTTTTGTTATGAGGTAAACCATTTTCAGTAATAAATTTTTTATAAAAACTAAAAAATACTTTACTTTTCAGGGGTCTATCCAGGGCGAATTTACTACCGTTTAGCGGTACCTTCACAAATTCAACTTTACGAAAAACGGTAGTTTCACAAAATACTTTTTCTTAAAAATTTTAATTTTGTATCCCTTAAGAAATGATAAATCCACATTTTTGTGTTGATGTTTTTAATATAATTTTTAATTTTTCGCAAATTATGTCTAAATTTTCACAAAATAAGTATCTCTCAGAAAAACCTAGACAGACCCCTGCTATTGTTACACATATTGAGAATAAGTAATAAAACAAAAATTAAAGATACTATTAAATTTTTAAAAAATTTGAAAAGTGAATTAATATAAATACAAAAATATAAGCAAAAGTAATTAAACTTAAAAAGATTTCAATATCTTTTCATAACAAAGAATTTTTTACAAATAATAGAACAATCATAAATGTTATTCAGTTAGAAAAATCGATTTCCAATACTTAGTATGGCGACATAAGAAAGGAAATACATGAAATTGTGACACAACTTTCCTTTGTAAAACACCAACTAAGTGTTTTGATAATGAAAAATTGAAAGTATAATCTGGACTATAGAGAAATATTCGAAAGAAAATAAAGATCTCACACAAAGATTTAGGGCTGCAAACGATAAACTTTCATATTTCTTAAATACCAGTGATTATTCTCTTAATTTTCATATGAATAGCATATATCAGTTTAAATCATGTCCCATTTCGAGTTCAATGTACCGAAGATATTAAGGAAAATATATAGCTCTTAATCAGAGTTTTAGTTCATATTTTGCCATAAAATTATGATATTTGAACTAATTAATCGAAAAAACAAGTAAATGGAAACCGAAATAAACTTTATATCAACAATTGTCATCCATGCCACCTACAGGATGGTGTGATTTCATCAAATGAGTTCATGTTAGTTCAAACGAAGTTTGTCTATCATACTTACAAATTTCAATAAGTAAGGATAGAAAGATTATTATTTCAAGTGTATAAGGATCCAGAATATCAAGTAAATCTCGTATTATGTTGCACAAATACAGCTGCCAGCATAAACAGTTTAGAACTAAACACAACACAGGATATGAAAATAGAAATTTGATAAACAAAAGTACCAGAAGCATACGATTTATTGGTCTCAGAATTTCTTGTTCCTTTCTTATCAAAAGAATCAACACACATTAATCCAAATTAATGTAAATTTTTTGAAATTTCGCTCACCTGTCGCAATGAGAAATCGACATTATTGTTCCCACACTGCACCGCGAATTGTAGGTGCTGATGAAGGGTTGCATTACATTTGGCAGCAACAGAGTGTAGTAAGAACTGCAATATGCGAGAAATAATCGTACTTTAGGCTTCGCCAATTGCGATAAATTTGAATAAAAAAATTGCAATTTTCTAGAAAATGCTAGAGTAATTTAGACGACAAGAATTTCTTTGTTAAATTCTAGAAAGTGAAGAAAAAATCTCATATAAAAAATTATATTAAACTTCAAATGTTTGTTGGTAATAATATTAATTTAACCTTAAATTAAAGTTGTTTAAAAAAAATTTGCGATTTATTAGTTTATTTAAGGGATGTTCTTATCTGTAAATCAAGACAATCAAGACCTTTTATTCAAGACTTAAGATTTATGAAATTTAAACTGATTTGAAAAAAACTAATTCATTATTATTGTTATGTCTAAAAAAATGAAATGTTTTATCTTTATCTTTAAGAGATTATAATCTTCATATTTCATAAGAAGCTTTAGATTTAAATGAGAATAATTATTAATGTGACATACAACAAGTTTAAATATACTACATTTTAGAGCAGTTTCGATATTTATGTAACTAACTAAATAAAATTTTATAAAATTAAATAAAAATCATAAATATAGTATTTATTTTATCTATGAAATATTATTAGGATAATTCATTGTCTGTCATTTTATCTCTATAATTTTATGAATAAAAAAGTAAAAAATAAATTAGATTAAATGCAAAGTTTTAGTAATGTTTTCAAACATTTAAAAATTTTGTACTTAACAATTTTGATGAATATGCCATTTCTTGTAATTATATTTTTTTAAAAATGTCGATTTCTATCTATTCTGTTTTGATCTTTAGAAATATTTTAAACGTCAAAAATTCTTCTAAATCAAACCGTGAAAAGTTGAGACGGTTCCAAAAATTGTTCATCAGCAAATGGTAAATAAAAAAAAAATTGAACTTAATGCACCTGGAAGCCATGTTTTGAAATTTTAATTGGAATTTTCTAAAGAGATGTTTTTGATTTACAAATTTTTACATATTGTTAACAATAGACAATTGCCGAATTTTTATCGCAGATATTATTTTTCATTGATTTATTTGAAATTTGACGTGATGAAAAAAAATTTTTTTTATTAACTTTACCCGAGTTCCAATTTGTTCTTAAATTATTGCAATTTTAAATGCTCTTTTAGTCATTTTTTCTTCTTCTTTGATTTGCTATAAATATTGACTATTGATCCATTGTTGAAGAAATTTTTATTTATTTTTCTCAAGATCTTTATTTTATTTGCTCGTGCTTAAGTTGTTGTTTAAATTAACAAAATAAATAAGAGAAAGATACCAGATGTAAAATTGAATATTTAAATTGAAATCTTTAAAATTATTTAAAAAAATTAAGATAAAGATAAGAAAGATATTCGTTATGATTAAAATAATGTACCAAAATGTGCTGACTTAAAATTATAGTAATTTAATAGTTTATTAAGAATATTATTTTGGCTTTTTTGAAAAAATCGAGACTTTTTAAAAATGACAATGATAAATACGAAGCAATAACCCTAGTTTATGCGCGGAGCAGCAATTAATTATTAATCGAGGCAAAAACAAATACGATTTCGAATTCTACCAAATCACAATAGGAGAAGGCGAATGAGCAAAACATCAATACCTGTTTGATTGCCAGAAGAAGAAGGGAGGAGTTGAAAGATACTTATTCGAAGCACTATTACATTTCAACAGGCAATCAAACAAGTTTTGATATTTTGTACACCCCACTCAATAGTGATTTGTCAGAATTTAATAGCTTTTTTTTCTAGTTTATATATTAATTCGCGAACCGAATAGTGCATTCTCAGTTTCCGAAGAGAATAAAAATGCTACAACAATTACGAAACTTATAATATTGGTAAAGAGAAGAAAATATTAAAAATGCTTACTTTCAAACCCCAAATCAGTCCTCAGTTTCAATTTCACTTGATAATGTAACCTCTAATTTTATGAATCACAAAAATTGCTAATTACTTTTTTTTAAACTAAACTAACCATGATGATGTTTTTCGTAGCAGATATGATCTTGTAAACGTAAACAAAAATCTGTGTTTAACCTTCTAGCTCTAAAGTAGGTTCAAACAAAATGCTTGAGAGCATAGTTAAAATAGTATCAAATAATCAAAAGAGGTCAAAACCAAATAAAATCGGGTAGAATTCAGCTCAACCTTGAACTCATCTCATCACTATTTGTTTTGTTTATTTTTATTCATACTTGATAAACTTATGAATTATTGAACTCTTCTGACTAATCAATTTAGTTTATGGTATTTTATTTTAAGTTCGTGAATCATGTGTATTGTATTTATTTCCTCTTTCATTTCAACTTTTAATTGTACAAGCAAAACCCATGTGATGTTATTATTACCGATAATTATTAGTATAATCTCGTTCTCAGAACTCTGCTTAGCAGCATCACTATGCCAAATTGGAAAAAGAAACTAAAAATAAAAAATAATTTTCATAAAGTGAGATAACAATAGATGACGATATTGTCGTGATAAACACATGTTAAAATCAGGGCTGGATTACTCATTAGGCCATGGCCTGGGGCTCCCTTAAAAAAAAATTTTGAAAATAAATTTAAAAAAATTAAGAAAAACAATGATTTAAAAAAAAATCAATTTCAAATATATATTAATAAAATACGATAATTTTTTTAGTTCATATTAACAATATAAAGTAAAATTTAATTTATTACTATTTATTTTTCTTTTAAGTATGCTTTCTTAAATGAAAAGATATATAAATATTTTAATAAATAAAAACTATACGAGAAAAAAAATTTAATTTAAGGGCCCCAAAAATTTGAATGGCCAAGGGCCCCGCGTGCGCTTAATCCGGCCCTGGTTAAAACAGAAATAAAAGATGAAATTGACACATTTATTTTGAACAGCTATTTTTATTTAAAAAACATACCTAGAGTAGACTGGACTGGGAATTTTCAGGGGATAGAAGGAAAAAATAAAATTGAATGCATAAGTTTTTGACATCAAAATATAGATTTCAATAGTATGTCAAAAAGAGAAAAAAGGGGGATTGTAGATATATGGTCAACAAAGACTCATTTTTTTGAAGCGTTGGACAAGGTTCTTAAAAATAGCCGCAGAATTCTTGTTTTTTAAGGCGGAATATGACTCAGTCCCGACACATAACTTAGAAACATTAAGGTGAAAACTCTTTTCCGTTTATTGTATTGATAGCAGAAATAAATAAAAATGTCATCGATTTTATTGTTGAAATTGCTATAAGCAACAGTCAACGATAAAGCTTGGATAAAAGAAGTACTTAATTCACTTCATTTAAAAATATTTTAATTCTTTTCTAAAAAAATTTCAATTTAAACAGACAATTGAATAGAAAAATTAAACAATGTTTTAAACACCATTCATTAATACGCAACTTTTTTCGGTTTGAGACGTCCGCACAAAGTATTTTCACTAATAATGGCAAGCAAAAATGTAAACTTACACACAATGTTAAAACGTAAACACAGTACTTAAAATAGTAAACTAAAATTAAGAACTCTTTAAAATACTCTTTCCTAAGAGGAAAACATTTTAAAGTGAAAAAAAAAATCGTTTTTCCATCCTAAAAAAAAGTTTATTGAAGTTGAAATCTAATCTAAACAATCAATAAAAAAATTAGAATATACATATATTCATAGTATTTGTTAATAAATAATACAATGAAGCTTCCGAGTTGATATGCAGCTTATATAGGCCAAGTTTTTCTTTACTAGCTGAATAAATTATTACAAACACTGAAAATATTATATTAACAATGTGTGAATCTCTGAACAAAAGCGTTTAAGGTATTTGTTGGAACCGGGATGGTTCAGGGGTGAGAGCGCTCTCCACTCTATGAGGCAACCCAAGATCGAGTTCCAACGATGACTTCGCGATTCGAATTCTATTCCTCACTGGTTCCGACCACTGGCTAACATAAAATATTTAGAATGGTAAATGGTTGATGACGCAGAATCCCTTTGCCATCGGGCTAACCGAGAGAATTTTTCATTGTTTTTCTCTCCATATGACTCAAATGCGGGTTTAATTGAACATAAAGTCTTCCACGAAAGCTAGTTTGTTCCAATGCTGGATACAGGAATTCCCTTTTCTTGTGACCGGCATTGAACGTCGAACTGTTAAAAATGAATTATCAAGTAATTTGAACCCAACCCAGAAGACAAGAGAACTTATCAAGCATTGGGACAAATTAGCCCTCACGCAGGACTTTTCGATGGAAATAACCCTAATTTCGATACATTTTGAGGAGAACCACGAAAACCTCCTATGAGTCGCTTGACGGCAAAGTGATTCTAACCCATTATCCATTTTGGATTGAGTTCCAAATGACAAGCATTTATATAGTTGAAAACTCAAACGTGAGTCAGCTGTTCAACGCAAGTTATAAAATTAAATAAAAAAAAGTGTTTGTTGATCAGAGTAAATATCTATGTTTATATATTTTATATACTTCACATATTCTATCTCTTTTTTAAAAAAAACTCCAAATGTTCTATCTCCTTTTTCTAAGTTTAAAACCTTCGTATCATGTATCGTGTGATTCGTTGATAGTTGATTTTAAATGAAAGTTTGATTGTGTAATCAACAAATTCATTTTCATATTTTAAAGATATATCTGCAATTTCAATCAATAAACATTGGAATTCTGATAATAACAATCTATTATTGTTCATAGGCAAAAATATATAATTGATAAATAAAATATTTATGCTTATCATTTTTTAAAAAGATTAGATTTATAATTTAACTATTTGGAAATAAAGTCTTACATTATATGACTTCATGATTATTAATTTATAGATAAAAAAAATTTTGTTCTTAAATAAATTGTATGCATTTCTTATCAAAGTTATTAATAAATGAACTGTTATTTTTAATAACTCCGCCAACTAAAAATTTAAACTTTATCAAAGATTGATGAATTAATTTAATTACATCAT